TGGACGATTACTATAAGTCTCCTTGGGGGTATCAAATAATCACAAAATGGAATATCAGTATTTCAAATTTTATTCATATATTTATTTTATCTGTATATACATTTTATATTATTTATCGTGTTAATATTGTACATTTTGTTGTATCTAATGTATAACTTTCATATTTGATCGTTATCTTTATATAAATTTTTATAACAAACTTAAAATCAAGGTAATAAATAACATCTTCATACACATATTCAAACTAATAGTCACTCAGTATCCAATATTCTTAATCCTAAGCCCAGGTGTTCCACCTCAATCTTATATTATCTTTGAGTATTATTAAGTACTAATTTCTTCTATCATTTGTATTTCCAAATTTACTTAAGGAACATATCTTTAATGGAACTCTATCGAAAACTCTTGCTGCGATTTCTTAAACAATTGCTGAGAAAGAGTCCTGGAAGGATGGTTTCAGCTCTTCGAATAAATCTTTCCAATTTTCATTTAAAAATCTGTTGGTTTGGTCTTCTAGAAGTCTGTCTTGGTCTGGGTTGTTGAAAGTTAGATACATTCTGAAAGAAATAGAATATTTTAAACTGAAAAATGTTAAATTACTTCTTATAAGTTAAATTGGTCAATGTGGTACCTTTTGGGTTGGAATTTAAGTTCAACATTTCTATTGTGTAATATTGTTTGTTGTTTTAGTCACCGGTTCTCCAGATGTAAAGCAAGCGCTGTAATATCCAAGTCAACTGGAAATAAAGATTATAAATTAATTTTTTAATATATATATATATATATATATATATATATATATATATATTAGCTGACCCGACAAACGTTGTTTTTGCAGTAAGGTATATTCTAAAAAATTCTAGAGAATCTAAAAATAAAATATTTAAGTGTATAAGATGTGTTGTTTGGATGCTATATACATGAGGTATTAATAAAAACTATAAACCTCATTAGTTTGTCTATATTTTATCAATACATTCAAACTGGAAGTTTTAATCACTTTGTATAGAAAAGATGGTATAATCCAATCCAAGTCTTCTTTGGTCTTTTGACTTATTGATTACGTTTCAAGTTTTTCAGATTTTTTTTGGTTCTGGATTTTGTGTATAATTGTAAATAATACTACTGAGCTTATACAAAATTTTCAAATTTCTGCGAGGAAAGATAGAAAATGAATTAAGTGTTCCTTCTTTGACCTGCTTTTTGAAAAGTTTCAAGTAACATTCGATGAATTAAAGTAAATTTAAGAAAAAGTATATATGTAGAGCAGGGCGAGGCACAAAGATCCAATTTGACTTTGAGCAAATACTAATTATATTATAAAAATCAAACCAATTATATCACAACAAATAACACATTTCAAACGAACAATTATCTGACTACGTTCAGTAAAACTGTCAGCTACTTCATGATTGTAGAAATGTACTTTTTTGATGTCTTTCAAAAATTTATTATCTTGGAACGGCCAGGTGGCAAACAGGTTTAATGTCTCAGTAGGTTGTCGAAAAGGTGAGATATTATTTCAAAATCGCGTAGAAACTTTACATTTTTAATTTACATTTTTTTGTAGAAGCGTAATTTGAATGAAACAATGGACGGTGGCTAATACGTCAAATGTCAAACGTTTTTGACAAATGATGTTCAATTACGTTTAATAGGATGTTTTACATGAATATTATTTAATTATGATTAAATTGTAGTAAGTAGTTTTGTTTGTAGTTTTATTTATATACAAAAACGTTAGTAAACATGCCGCAAGTGTTACTAGAAACTCATAACATCAACTTTTTTGAAATGTTAATATGAAAACGTACTTTTTGGCATATTTTTCTCAAACACGGTGCTCTGAAAGATCACATTTGTATAATTATATACTAATTGGTATTTATAAAACATTTTCTAGGTTATATTATTTTTTATTTATATTATTTAAATTCAGAACCTAAATTTGGTATCGATCAAAGGGACATTTTGTCGAATAACATTTTTCAGTTATAATTTCCTAGAATTTATCTAAGAATAGATAGTAATATATGAAGGTCCGGGGTTAAAAAGGTCCACCACCGATGTGTCAAAAACCAGTGAAGTTAAAGATTGTTCAACAACAATATTTGAAAGTAGAGGGAAAAAGATGTATAACCAGCTATAACCTCGATTCTCATGACTTTGCTATCGGGAGATAAACGGTTATCTTTGAAAATCCATAATAAAAGTGTTTTCTGCCGTTGGTAGTTTTTTAGCATTAGTTAAAAATGTAATTATTTTGTAAAATACCTTTAAAATTAACAGAGGTTAATTTAATTTGACATTTGACGTATTAGCCACCGTCGATTGTTTCATTCAAATTACGCTTCTACAAAAAATTTTAAATTAAAAATGTAAAGTTTCTACGCGATTTTGAAATAATATCTCACCTTTTCGACAACCTACTGATTAGCACGAATTTTTCAAGACTAAGACTGACCAAATCGTTTTAGCCGTTTTCGAGTTTTACCGAATCATATATATATATATATATATATATATATATATATATATATATATATATTATAGGAAATAAAATAAGTAAAGTATAATAAAATAAGTATTTTTTAGAATAAGTAGTTGATTTTTATCTATTTACCAAGTGTTAGGTTGCATTTGCCCTTGCCAGTAATTGGAAACAAAAGTATTCGTCCCTTCGAGGTGAAATCTCCATCAAGTTCTACTCTAGGAACAAGGGCTTTGATACGCCAATCTACACGTTCAGATGAAAAGGATCTGGAAAAATAGAAAATTGTCAATTTTTATGAAAATACATGTAGTTGTCGTTTAAGGTTTTATTGTGACGATTTAGGATGTTAGGATTAGGGTCCTTTTAAGAGATCACCTTAGCACCTTACCTCGATCTCTAAAACACTAGTAATTGTCGTTCATTCATTTAATTTATAATTTTTTTTACTTACTCGACATCTGAAACTTTGATTGGGCTGAAACCGTGCATGTCGCAATTTAAGATTTTAAGTTGGATGCTCACAGAACTGTTGCCCCCTTGGTCAATTGATAATTCGTTTATTCTCAGAGGCTCCAGTGGCAAAAGATTTATTTTTGGATTTCCTGGAATAAAATAAAATATATGAATTATTTAAATACAAAAAAAAAACAAATACAAAGACACAAATGTATTTTTTTTCTATAATTTCAACTGGGTGTAAGTGGCATTGTGCCTTAAGACAAGTTGCTGGAATTTCTGATGACAATTTCTCCAAATTCTTTATTTCTTTGAGTACTATTGGCTAAATCTAAAATTGTTAATTAGTAGATTATAATTACCATCTTTCATAATTGATGCCTTCGCCAATGGCATTTTGTAAACAATGGCTGTCTTCCATTTTACATCTTGGAACTTCTGATGCTGAAAGTTGTAAATTTCTCGTTAAAATTCTAGAATTTACAAGAATATTATAAATAAGTTATTAAATTATTTTTAAGAAATCGTTAGGTTTTATTTTTCTGAACTGAAAGGCTTCTTGTTTTATAGAAACTATCTTATTCTTATAGAATAGAAATAATTATAAAATCGTTTCGGCAATATGGGATGACCCTTTCTGGATTTAATGGATTTACTGTTCAAAAAACAATTTGAATTTATTTATTAAACAAAAATAAATTAATAAAAAAACTGAATTAAATATATGTTTTATTTTTCTGAACTAAAAGGCTTTTTGTTTTCTCAAGAAACTATCTTATTCTTATAGAATAGAAAATAATTATAAAATCGTTTCGGCAATATGGGTTGCTTTTCTGGATTAAATGGATTTACTGTTTATTATTTTAAACAAAAATAAATTGATAAAAAAAACTGAATTCAATAAAAATTAATGTATCTATTGTAAATCGCATTCAAATATACTTGTTATAATATGTGATTGTAATAATTATGATAATTATGTAATTGTTATAAATTATATTTAAAGCAAAATATGAGATAAAATTTAAAATTATTTGGAAATTTATAATTTTTTTTTTGTTTCTTTCGGATACTGTTCGATTCTGTTATTTCTAATTAGAATTAAAACTATTTGAAACCTATACTAATTATTTATTTTATTTTCTGTTATTTCTAATTAGAATTCAAGATATTTGAAAATTTGTACTATTTTCATGTAATAATTGGATTTGTTTTAATTTCTATTGTTTCTAATCAAAATTAAAAATTATTATTATTATTTGTACTATTTTTTCTACAACAATTTGTTTTGTTTTGATTTCTGTTGTTTCTAATCAAAATTCAAAATATTTGAAAAATTATACTATTTTTGTGCAATATAATTGGTTTTGTTTTGATTTTTAATGTTTCTAATTCGAATTAAAAATATCTGGAAAGTACTAATTTTTGTGAAACTGTTTCGATTTCTATTGTTTCTAATTAAAATTAATATTATTCGGAAATTTATACTATTTTGGTTCAATAATTGGTTTTGTTTCGATTTCTAATGTTTCTAATTGGAATTAAAAATATTAGGAATGTACTAATTTTTGAAAATATTTAGAAACTTGATTCATTTTCTGTGTAATAATTGATTTTGTTTCTAAATAAAATTAAAAGTATTTGGAAATTTGAGCTAATTTTTGTGCAATCATTTTGATTTACATTGTTTCTAATTAAAATTAAAAATATTTGGAAACTTGTACTATTTTCTTCTTCCGTTTCGATTTCTGTTTTTTCTGACAAAAATTGAAAATATTTGGAAATTTTATGTGGAATAATTTGTTTTATTGCAAGTTGTATTATTTCTGATTAGAATTAAAAATCTTTGGAAAATTGTATTATTTTTTGTGCAATAATTTGTTCAGTTGTTATTTATATTGTTTTTCATTAGAATTGAAAATATTCGTAATTTGTACTATTTTTATACAAAAATTTGCTTCGTTTCGATTTCTGTTGTTCCTAACTAAAATTAAAAAATTTTTGGCTATTTTTTTACACCTTTACACAATTTATAATTCTTTTTTATTAAATTTTTTATATTATTTTTTTCACTTACGCAAATGAGCAGCATTCGCCGCGACCACAAACACCGAAAATACAATTAAAAAATTCATCATAAATTCAGTAAAACTATTCTAAATATTCTAAATAAATTAACAGTATGCTTCAACAATAAATAAATAGGTAATTTATAAACGAATGCACATGGTAGACTAATTTTTTGACAGGTTTGCTTCATGTATTTATATCGTGAAAAAAAAACTTAATAAATGTTCATAAAATACAAGATCATGACATTGTACTATATCGGTCGTACTTGTACTTTACACATGGATATAAATCTATACATATATAATTATATACATATATGTATAAATGTTTTATTCTAACGTATAAATGTGAATTTTATATAATGTTGTTCTGTCATAGAGAATTGCTTACTTGCTTTTTGTATTTTTAGTATTTTAGGCCTTAAACAAAACTGGTTCGACTTGTGTAATTAACGAAATTTATACCTATTCCAAGAACGTCAAAAAATATTTAGGTAATACAATATTATATATATATATATATATATATATATATATATTTGTATAAATGAGATAAGGAGACCTGGATGACTTTTTCAATATTTCAATAATTGTCATAAAAGAAACAAGTACCAATTTCCTAATATTTTTAACATCAATTTACAAATATTTTTAATATTAATTAGAAACAACAGAAATCGATACGAAACATTTTTTGTACAAAAATTAGTATGATTTCTAAATATATTTGCATAATTTCAATTACAAACAGCTGATATCTAGAAATCGAAAAAAACAACAAATTAGTGACAATTAAAAATTAGTACCAATTTTCAAATATTTTTAATATTAATTTCCCAAAATTTTTCGAATTAATATTTATATAAATATAAAGGAATAAATACATTGCTATAATGCACCAAAGTTAGTACACATTTCTAATTTTAATTCCAATTAGAAACAACAGGAAAACGAAACAAATTATTACCGATTAAAAAATAGTACTAATGTTTAAATATTTTTAATTCTAATTAGAAATCGAAACGAAACAAATTATTGCACAAAAATAATACAATTTTGCAAATATTTCTAATTCTAATTAGAAACAATAGAAATTGAAACAAAATAAATTGTTGTACAAAAATCAGTACAAATTTCGAAATCTTTTTATTTTAGTTAGAAACAGCAGAAATTGAAATAAAACAAATTATTGCACAAAAATTAGTACGAATTTCCAAATATTCTTAATTTTAATTAGAAACAATAGAAATAGAAATGAAAGCAATTATTGCACCAAAATAGTAGAAATTTCCCAATATTTTTAGTTCTTGTTGGAAACAACTAAAATCAAAATGAAACGATTTTTGACACAAAAAGTAGTACAATTTTGCAAAGTTTTTAATTCTAATTAGAAACAATAAAAATTAAAATAGAAATGAAAGTAATAATTTTTTTTTAATCTAATTAGAAACAACAGAAATCAAAATAAAATAAATATTTACATAATAATTAGTACCAATGTCGAAATATTTTCAATTCTAATTAGAAACAATAGAAATCGAAGTAAAGCAAATTGTTGTACAAAAATCAGTACAAATTTCCAAATGTCTTTTATTTGAATTAGAAACAGCAGAAATCGAAATAAAACAAATTATTGCACAAAAATTAGTACAAATATCCAAATATTTTTTATTTTAATTAAAACAATATGATTTGATGTGAAACATTTTTTTATTAAAAAAATAGTACAAGTTCCCAAAGATTTATAATTTTATTAGAAATAACAGAAATCTAAATAAAACAAATTATTGCACAAAAATTAGTACAAATTTCCAAATATATTTTATTTTAATTAGAAACAACAGAAATCAAAATAAAATAAATATTTACATAATAATTGGTACCAATTTCTAAATATTTTCAATTCTAATTAGAAACAATAGAAATAGAAATGAAAGCAATTATTTCACAAATTTCTAAAAAAAATAATTTCAATTAGAAACAAGAGAAATAGAAATGAAAGCAATTATTGCACAAAAATAGTAGAAATTTCCAATTTTTTTTAATCTAATTAGAAACAACAGAAATCGAATAGAAACAAATTATTACACAAAAATTAGTACAAATTTCCAAATTTCTAATTAGGAACAACAGAAATCTAAACTAAACAAATTGTTGTACATTAATAGTAAAATTTTATTTTAATTAAAGACAGTACGTGTACATTTTAATTAATAAAAATAGAGATTTAGCTATGTAGATAAAATTTTCAAAATTCTAATCTTACAATTTTTGTTTTGAAAACAAAGTTGCCACTTGGATTAATAACGTTTGATAAAGAAATAGAGAAATAAATTAAAAAAAAAAACAATTATTTATAAAATGAAACATATTTTTGTTGGTCTGTTTGGAACAATTCTAGTATTTTTTGCACTGCGATGTAGCAGGAAATAAATATTTAGATAGATATCAATTTTAAAACCTTTAAAATGTCTAAAAATACAATTTCCAATACACCGGTCTCCTCTATCAACATATAAATTTCATTTTTAATTGTTTTTCATTTCACAATATAGACATTACCAGTTTTTCTCAGAATCAATCAAAACTGATTGATTTTATTAGTGCAATAAAATAATTATTTATGAATACATTTAATTGACATTCAACTTAATTTATAATTTAGTTTTCATATTAGTTGGCAAAAAAACTTGCAGTTTTAATTTTACCGCAAATGATGACGTAAATATGAATCGATGTACATTGGAGAATTATAATTCTTGTTATATATATATATATATATATATATATATATATATATATAATATAAATTTAGAAATATGAACAAACAGCACTCTTTTTTGCACTGATTTATTAATGTTTTTAATATTAATTTTACAAACGTTTCGAGACTAGGTTTGTCTCATCATCAGTGTATTATAATTTAAAATCTAAAATATGAAAACATCTAAAATCTAAGTCTGAAAAGATTTTTATATTTTAGATTTCAAATTATAATTTATTTTTTTCAATTATGGTGTCAAACGAATCAAAATAATAAGAAGCGTCGTAAAACAAAAAAAAAACTGAACTGGATTTTCTGGCAAAAACTTTTCCTTTGGGATCTATACAAGTTTCAAAAATGTGTAACGGATGTTTCTAAATTTCAAGTTTCAATTTTTGAATACTTACAATATACTTGAACAATTTATCAATACTTTTAATGATTTTCCATATTATATCCAAAAATTTATCCAGCAATGTATATTTAGAACAAAATCAATTATTCGGTCGTTAAACACAGCCCAGACCTTGACACATTTTGTTTTCTATCAAATTATTATT